GGTGCCCCCCCCACCACCACCATTCTTAGTTGTGTTTGAAGGTCCACACCCAGACATAAATCCTGGTGGTTCTGGACAGCATGAAAAAATGACAAGAGACAAGCCTCATGGTTTTCCCAGCTTTTATACCCTTAGCCCCTCTCCTGCAAGTGGCTATGGTGAACCAATTGGCTGGAAGAGGGAAGGGGAGTGGGTTTTTTGCAGAGTGTGATAAGGAGGCTGGTCCATGGCTTGGCATCACAGGGTCAGAGGAACATCTGTGTCACAGTATCCAAGACTGATGGTGCACAGATCTTGTCAGAGTCTCTGGATCCCATGGGGAGATCTAAGGCAAAACTTTTGAATAATGGGAGAAATAATGTCAAGGTGGTTTCATGAGAATTGATCACAAAGACAAATATGGCATTTATCAAGATGAATAAGAACACCAAAAATATTCCTACTAGAAGATAAGAAAAGTAATTTAGAGACTGTGGGGATGGCTGAGTTGATAAAACCTAGGGTTCAGATCCACCAGAACCATACCTCCTGAGGAGGTGATACAAGTATCTGTGATCTCAGAAGACTATGGGTTGTGGAAGGGGGACAGGAGAACATTCAGATTCCTGTGGGCCAGAAAGCCTGGCATAGGCAATACCTAAAAAAGTGTCTCAAATTAAGAAAAGTATCAAGCAAAAAGCAAAGACTAATACTAAAATGATGGCCTCTGACTTCCACATGGATACAGTGGCATCAGCACCTGCACACACACAAACACATGAACGTTTACACACACACACACACACACTTAAATTCGGAAATTTCTTTATATACTGAAGAATACCCTTCCACTTGTATTCCACAGTAAAGAGCAGTGTATTATTTAGCCAAAAAATTAAATATAGAATAATAATAATAAAATTAGAAACTACATTTGAAATGTTTTTGTTTCTGTATTCCTATTAAAATAATAGTCCAAAAATAAAATGAAACATAATCCAACAGAATAATATTTCAGAAAGTATGATGTTATGTCATTGGTATATTCTTACAGATAGAAGGAAAACTATAAATATTAAATTATATGGATGTGCACAATAAGGTATACATATTTGTGCTCTAACACAATGTATATGGAAAGACAGTAATTAAAGTAAATGTTTGAAATTAAATTAATAAATTTAAAAATTATGACTCACATGGTGAATTGAATTATAAGCAAATATAATGACTCTCTCCTTACTTTATTGTAATATTGTTTGTAAACATGTTTTCAAAACCCATATGTGGATTGTTGGTAATCTCTAATGTGCCAATTTATGAACTGGGGGAGTTAGGAAGTCCTGGGTTTATATTACTAGATTATAATCATTTATCAATGTATTTATTTGAAAGTACAAAAATGAATTCAATAACACAGAAAAAATATCACAAGTTTTATTTTACAATGGATTTATAATATAGTTTATCTAGAAAATATACTACTATTGTGCTTAACACTACATAATAAAGACATTCAAACTACTAAAACTGTTCCTTGTGCTTACTGTTACCAGACACTAAAAACTAAAATGATAGTTTTTCCAATGAATTCTCCACCTAGTAGTAACTTCCTTATATACAGATTCATGGACTCATTCCTCAGACTGTAGATACCAGGATTGAGTGTTGGGTGAAGGACTGTAGAAATCAGAGAGAACTTGACTACTACAGCAGTTGTCGAGTCTGAAATTGACTTTAGATATGCAATGGCACCTGTGAATAGAAAGAATGAGATCACACAGAGGTGGGGTGGGTAGGTGAATGTTGGGGGCTGTTTGTCTATTATGTATGTTGAGCTGTGTCAGGCTTATTTACTGAGTTGTGTTATGCACACCAGTATCTAATCTGCCTAATCATATGTTTATATTTATATGGAATATGTTTGTATGGAGAGCCTCACAACACCTGACCTTGAGGCAATAGTGGTAAACAAAAAGATCAAAGAAGCCTTTGATCTGACCACTCCTTGACCCTCAGATACAGGTGGGGAAAAGCAGCTGTGGAAACTAATTGAGTTCTTCTGTATAAAAAGGTGGAGCTGAAATAAACCAGGGCTGCAGTTACTGTCAGTCCTCCCAAGCATCTTTTCTGTCTCGTTTTCTTTCTTTCAATCCTCACTCCCCCTTTCAGGTACTGTCTGTCTTGGCCGGCTGGCACCGGCAAGTGGCGCCCAAACAGGGACCTGAAAAGTAGGGGAAAAAGTGAAGGACACCGCTCGAGAAATTAAGTGGGTGCACTCGGTACAATTGGGGAGCGGTGAGTATTTATCTTGGGAGAAGATGGGGCAAGGAAACAGTCGCTCAGTTTTTGTAAGGAATATGCTTGGGGCTCGAGGAGCAAAGGCTGAGACTAAAGAGGAGAATCTGATGGCTGGGATAAAAGTGAAACCAAACCTTCCGCTCCACCAGAGCCAGATCCACCCTTTTATGAGGACCCTCGTCTGGGGCTAGAAGAGGGATCTCTTGACCCTGAGGATGAGTCTGCCCTAGGAGAGGAGATGGTTGAGTACGATCAGGAGAAGTGTCCACCTATAATTGCTTTGCCTGATCACTGGGAAATTAAGCAATTAAGGGCAGAGTTAGATGCTGTGAAGAAGGAAACGTTAAAGAACAAAGAGAAAAGAATTAGGCCTCCTCCTCTGAGGCCACCAAAGGCTGTTGCACCTCCCATGATTGCCATGGCTCAGGAGCCTTCAGCAGGAATCTGGTACCCGCTTAGAACCGTGCAATCTCCGCTACAACAGGCCATTGGGGCCATAGTAGAGAGAGGAGAGTCAGTGCATGGATTTCAGGTCTTCCCAGTTTCTGAGCAAGTTGATCAGCAGGGCAACAGGGTGCGGTCTCATGCACCTGTGCCGTTTAAGCAGCTTAAGGAACTAAAGACTGCTTGTGCTCAGCATGGTACCACTGCCCCTTTTACCCAGGGTTTGTTAGAATCCCTGTCCATGGATGCGCTTCCTCCTGGAGATTGGAAACACATGGCACATGCTTGCCTTTCAGGGGGAGATTATCTGTTGTGGAAATCTGAGTATGAGGAACAGTGCCAGGTGACAGCGAATACCAATAGAGCGCAGAGTATTCCCATATATTTTGATATGTGAAGGGATACTGCTCAGCAGTTGCAGCACAATGTTGTGGCCTATGTGCAGATCAATGCTGCACCCCGAAGAGCCTGGTATAAACTGCCATCTAGTGGTAGGCAGACTGAGGATTTGTCTAAGATCAAGCAAAGTCCAGATGAGCCATATCAGGATTTCGTGGATCAATTACTCCAAACTGCCGGTTGCTTGCTGGGGGATAGTGAAGCAGGTTTACTCTTAGTGAAACAGCTTGCTTTTGAAAATGCTAATGGAGCCTGTCAAGCTGCTATTAGGCCTTTTAGAAAGAAAGGTGATTTATCAGACTATATAAGATTATGCTCTGATATTGGGCCATCATATATCCATTATAAAAACAGATAATGGCTCTGGCTGTACCAGTCAGCGGTTCCAACGTTTCTGTTTGCAATTGGGCATTGAACATAAAATTGGGATACCATATAACCCACAAGGACAAGGTATAGTGGAAAGAGCTCATGGTGCTTTAAAAACACAATTACAAAAAATAAAAAATGGGGAGTTATATCCCCAGACACCAAGTAATCTTTTACATCATACTGTTTTCATTTTAAACTTTTTGAATTTGGATAAAAATGACCACTCTGCGGCAGATAGAATGTGGCATCCTCAGTCACATGATACCTATGCCCAAGTCAGGTGGAAGGATCCTTTAACTGGACAATGGAATAGCTCCGACCCTGTATTGATTTGGGGAAGAGGGCATGTTTGTCTTTTTCTGCAGGATGCAGATGGAGCCAGGTGGCTGCCAGAAAGGCTGGTGAGGTTCGCCGGACGAGCGCCTAAGAAAAAAGAAGTAGAAAAGAATGATGAGAGACAGACGTGGCTGATGATGATGTTCCTGCAAGTGATCGTGGCTGAATAATACTGGACTTATATTCCTGATCAAAAGCATTGCACCCCATGATATGGGATGAAAAAGAGATAGTAGTGACTGTGAATGACTCTTGGTTAATTGCTCAGCCTGCTTCAAAATTCCTGATGATTATTTTGGGATGGGAAGCGGGTTGCCTATTTGTTTTGTTAAAAATAAGTGCAGGTGTGTACAAGTAGATGACTGTGTGCTTGTGGGACAAAGTGGATATTGTACCAATGTCAACGTGTTATTGCCAAGAGATAATTGAAAAAACAAAAAATTTTCTCCACATTTCCACCCTGTAAGCAGCGGCAGATATTCTAAAAAGGCTGAGAGCCTCCCTACATGCTTTTCCTCCTGTCTTTGTTTTCATCTGGTGGAAGTAAAGTTATTTATGCCTGTGGCAAGTCAAGGAAGCTGTGCATGATATGAGATTACGCTCCATCCCCTAACAGAGTCCGGTCGTCAAAGACAGGTAAGATCTTCTGGGAGAAAGTCAACCTAAGACAGGGTGTAGCTGATGGAAGCTACATGCCGATGAGGGGTAAGGCTTTGCTCTGGTAGAAGACAACCTAAGACAGGCACGGTCCTTCTGTCCTAGATATAGCATAATCTGGGGTTATAAAAATAAAAAAAGAAGGGGGAGATGTTGGGGGCTGTTTGTCTATTATGTACATTGAGCTGTGTCAGGCTTGTTTACTGAGTTTGTATTATGCACACCAGTATCTAATCTGCCTAATCAGGAGGAATATGTTTATATGGAGAGCCTCACAACACCTGACCTTGAGGCAATAGTGGTAAACAAGAAGATCAAAGAAGCCTTTGATCTGACCGCTCCTTGACCCCCAGATACAGGTGGGGAAAAAAGCTGTGGAAACTAATTGAGTTCTTCTGTATAAAAAGGTGGAGCTGAAATAAACCAGGGCTGCAGTATTTACTGTCAGTCCTCCCAAGCATCTTTTCTGTCTCGTTTTCTTTCTTTCAATCCTCACTCCCCCTTTCAGGTACTGTCTGTCTTGGCCGGCTAGCACTGGCAGGTGAATCTTAGACTGACCTTCAGCAGAGGGCATTCTGAGAACTCTGGAGAATATCTGTACATAGAAGAGAGCCATGGTAATGAAGCAGGTAAATCCCTCTATAGATATGATAACAACCACTCCAATCACTCCAAGGCAATCATTAGAGGAGGAGAGCTTGAGCAACTGGGGGACATTGCAGAAGAACTGATGTATTATTTTGGCCCGCAGAACCTAATAGACAATGTGGTTGTTATGTACAGGGTTCCTGGTATGCCTGTGCTTATCCACACAGCTATCACATCCCACCTGTGCCGGGGGTTTAAACCAGCGAACCCTGGGCAGTGAGGATTGGGGATGAGTCAGCATGCCATTTGCCAGCCCACGCCACCTCCAGTACCGGGAACACTCAGGTGCAACGGGGAGCCTAGTCAAGCAGGGACTCATTTATTGCAGGTGTTACAGAGCTTATAAAGGCTCCTGTAAATCCCCCCTCCCACCCAAGGGTGTATCTTAAGGATGGTCATACACAGATCATGCATTCCTCAGCAGTGCAGAAGTATTCTTCAGACTTTCAAAGCAAGTCAGGCCGCACCCCAGTAACTTCCTTTCAGACTTCTGCAGGGCTGGACCTTCAGGTCCCTACATCTCCCCCTTTTTATTTTTATTTTAATGCTGGGCTGACTTTATTTCATGGGTTACCCACCTCATAGACAGTTCCCTGAGGAGAGATGGCTATCTCCTTCCTCTAATCTTATACATTTTTGCCTGTCTTAGGTTGTGTCAACTCTGATCAAGCCTTGCCCAACATTGGATTATGTACCTGGCCATGTGCATGTCCTGTCTTAGGAGTACTTGTCATGGGACTTCTTACCCATCCTTAGCTAAAAATGTGTCATGATTAAGGGCAGCCATGTGGGTAATGCCAGTCCATGACAGTCTTAGTCTCTGCCTAACTCAGCCAAGCATGGGCAACTGGAAAGGGTCCTGGGGAAGTCTGTAATCATGAGGAGGTGGGCCATGGCAGTTCCAAGGGTCCTCTGTCACAGAATTATTTGGTAAAGACACATAAAGATAAGCATTATCAAGAGAAACAAAGCAAGTCATGGCGTAGGACAAGTTGAAATAGTTCTGAGACCATGTATCTTTTAGCCAATTAGCCAGTTGTAGAGGCTGACTGGCAATGAAGCCAAGGAACTGGGTCCTTCACCTCAGATGGATACAAACAAAGAGAGGAATTCTGTCTCATGAAGTATTGTCCATGGACTGTCATTCTAGTCAGTCGGATCCTGGCCTACCCACTTAAGGTTTTTCGCAGGCATCCATATGGGCTTTGAATCTCCTGTAGGGTAGATACACCCAAAGTTTTGACCCATGGTTAGCAATGGATCTGGGCCTTTCCATTGCCCTGTAATGTGGTCCTTCCACATTACACGTACCTCAGGTCTCTGCTCCTGTCATCCCCAATGCTTCTGAAACTGGGATTCCAACTGATTTTTTTGAAAATTAAGAACATTAATAGTGAATAAGTTCATACCCAAGTGTTGGTGTGGGCTTATTCCCCCTTTCTGTTTTTGTTATTGAAGTTTTAGGTTTTGATGGTTGCGTTCTATAATGGCTTGACCTTGGGGATTGTAGGGAATTCCTGTATTGTGTTGAATTCCCCAAAGTGAAAAGAAATCTTGTGAATATTTCCTCACAAAACATGGTCCATTATCAGTTTTAAGTTTTGGGGGCAGTCCCAACGTAGCAAAGCACTGGAGAAAATGAGACTGAGCATGTTTAGACTTCTCTCCTCTATGAGCAGTAGCCCGACAGGCATGTGAGAATGTGTCGATGGACACAAAAACGTACTTAAGCTTTCGAAAGGAGCATAGTGTGTGACATCCATTTGCCACAAGGAATTGGGCTTGAGTCCCTTGGGGTTTACCCCTGGCTGTTGCAGAGGCGGTACCTGTACACAATAAGCCATCTTGTCTGTCTCTGCATTGTCTTGGAATAAAAGCCCAGGCAATCCTTGGTGCCGTCTAAGATGCTGTAAGAAAATAGGGGCTTCTCTCTCTTTAAGGAGTATACGAGTCTGAATACTATCACAAAACAATGGCCATGAGTTCCTTGAATTGAGCTGCTTTTTGGTTTCTCTACATCTGCCCCAGTCAGTGAAAACATTGTAGGTTTTTACTAAGGGCTCCCTTGGCCCGGGATACGGTGAGCACTGCTGCAAGCAGGACTGTAACACTCGGGGGCAGGGTGGATTCCTGGCTGCTCATGGAATGGACAGGAAGGGACCCCTCCCCAAGCCACCTTTCCCGAACTTGGCCTTCCCAGCCATCCTGGAGCCGGTTGAGGTGCACAGCCAATAGTGGTTTTTGTTTTTTTTTTTTAATGCACCCGGTTGCCACTGCATGTCTCTGGCCAGGAGCCCCAACCGGCTTTCGCATGGGCCCCTGAGTTGTTTTCGTGACCGGCCAAGGGGCGGTCCCCCACCCGACTTTTGTGCCTGTTAGTTCAAGACAGGTGGGGTGGGGGGCTTTTGCAGCCCACCCCTTGTGCCCCGCTCTGCCCCACCCTTCTGAAAAAGGCATCCATTGGTCCTGTTTTCATGGGTCCTGGGGGGTTCTGAAGCTGCCCAGGGTACATATGCCTGAGGTGCTGCTTGTTACTTTGACCACTTTTGGTTTCACTTGTGTTGCATTTCTGCCTTCTTCCTCAAACTCTTCCCATGATTCCCATGTATCCCCAGTAAAAACGTTAGCCCCAAGTAGCCAGGGAGCCAAATGAATCACCTCTTCCCAAATCTTTTGAGCTACTGGATCTGACAGATCCAGTCCCCTGCTTTTGAGCATATCTCTCATCACTTTAAGTGCCGGGTCCTCAGACTTAAAACTTGCATTACCCATCTTTCCAGGTCTTGCTTACCCCGAACTTCTCAATTGGCCCCAATCCGTTTTTCTTCTTTCTTCTTTCTTTTCTTCTTTTCACCTTCCTTCGAGCGCCATGCTGAGTGCCAGTTGCTAGGGGGTTTGTACCAGCGACCCCTGGCCAGTGACCACTGGGGATGAATAAGCATGCTGTTTGCCAGCCCATGCCACCACCGGTACTGGGAACACTCAGGCATAACGGGGAGCCTAGTCAAGCAGGATCTCATTTACTGTAGGTGTTACAGAGCTTGTAAAGGCACCTGGAAATCCCCCCTCCCTGCCGAGGGTGTATCTTAAGGATGGTCACGTGCAGATCATGCACTCCTCAGCAGTGCAGAAGTATTCTTCAGACTTTCAAAGCAAGTCAGACTGCACCCCAGTAACTTCCTCTCAGACTTCTGCAAAGCGGGGCCTTTATGTCCCCACACACCAGCACTTCCTTGGACCCATGGGGACCTCATAGTCCAGTGGAAAGCAGATAGCCACATAGCAGTCATAGGACATCACTTTGAGAGTGGCCACCTCATTCCAGGCCAAGGATATGAAAAAGAAAACCTGAAGAATGCACTGAGCATATCCACTGCCAGTAAGGGAATTGTGAATGGACTGGGGTACAGTAACAGATAGGGAGTAGAGGTCAAGAAGGGAAAGGTGCTTCAGGAAGTAGTACATCAAAGATTGGAGCTGTGGGTCCTGTTTTATGATGGTGCTGATGATGAAGTTACCTGTCAAGCACAACAGGTACATCACCAAGAAGAGCAGAGCATGTAGAATCTGCAGGTCCTGGTTGTCAGAGAACCCCAGGAGGAGGAAGCCACTCACTGTGGTTACATTTGTTGTAGTCATTTTGACAATAGAAATTATGCATACGGCTGAAAAATAAAATATGAGATGCAGTAGTAAAATAGAAATTATACATTTATCCAAAATTTCATGTTTCTAGATCTAATGTTTAAGAACTTATATTTTCTCAGATTTTAAAGTCTGTTAAATATGTCCTAAATGATGATCATCTGCAGGATAGAGTATTTACTTTTTCCAGACGTTTCTGACATCTCTGTTTATTCTTTGTCCTGTTGACCTGTCTAATGGAGACAGTGGTGTATTGAAGTCTCCTACTATTGTTGTGTTGGGGTTAATCTGTGTCTTGAGGTTCTGTAGTGTTGTTTTTATGAATTTGGGTGCACCAGAGTTTGGTGCATATATGTTCAGGATTGTAATGTCTTCTTGGTGAATTGTTCTTTTGATCAGAATGAAGTGACCCTCCTTATCTCTTCTGATTAGTTTTACTTTGAAGTCTATTTTGTCAGATATTAGAATTGCAACCCCTTATTGTTTCTTGGTGACATTTGCTTGAAATATTCTTTTCCATCCTTTCTCCTTAGGGTAGTGCCTGTGAGATGGGTTTCTTGCTGACAGCAAAAAGATGAATTTTGTTTCTTAATCCATTCACTTAGCCTGTGTCTTTTGACTGGGGAGTTCAGAACACTGATATTTAAAGTTATTATTGAAAGATGTGTATTGGTTACCATCATTTTGATTGCTGTTTTTGCTCTTTGTCTAATTTTGTGTTTCCTTAATTACACAGTTATTTATTTTATCTTGTTACCACTGGAGTATAGCTGTTTCTCGACTCTTTGTATTGCTTCAAGTATTCTTTGAAGGGCTGTATTCATGGGCATATATTCTTTCAGGCTATTGGTGTCATGGAAGGTTTTTCTTTACCCTCAGTTGTAATAGATATTTTTGCCAGGTAGAATATTCTGGGATGGCATCTATTATCATTTAGAACTGGAAATACCTTGGTCCAGGCTCTTCTGGCTTTCATAGTTTTTATTGATAAGTCAACTGTAATTCTAATGGGCTTTCCTTTATATATGACTAGTTGTTTTTCTTTTGCTGCTCTCTTTGTTCATTACCTTTATTGGTTTTGCTATGCTATGCCATGGGGAGTTTCTTTTCTGGTCCTGTCTGTTTGGTGTTCTATGTGCATCCTATATTTTTATGGAGATGTCTTTCCTTTATTTTGGGAAATTCTCCTTTACAACACTGTTTAAGATCTGGCCAATACCATTAGTTAGAAATTCTTCTCCTTCCTCTATGCCTTTTTTCATGGCATCCCATATGTTTTATATTCTGTTTTCCATTTCAATCATTCTAGTGGTGAGGCTTTCACCCGTTGTTTCATGTTGACTTACTGAATTTTTCACTTCTTCATTTCTGCCTGGGGTTTCTTTAATATTTCTATCTCTTTTTGTGAATCCATTCAGATGTTCGTCCCTATTTTCTTTTATTTCTTTGATTTGTTTATTCGTATGATCTTTAAATTCATTGAATTCCTTGATCATGTTTATGATTGTTCTTTTAAATTAAGTGTCCTTAGTTATCTCTAGGTGGTTCTTCTTGTAGAATTCTTCTACAGGATTAGTGGGCTTTGCTGGGGACATAGTGTTTTGGCTTTCCATTTTATTATTCTTTTGTTGTGCTTTTCTTTCACATTTCACAAAAGAAATGTGAATTTCTTTTGTTATTTGTGATTCTGATATGAGAATTAAGTTGAAGATTGCTTCTGTTTGTATTATTGGTGTACCTTGATCCTTTTCTTATTGATTATGTAAAGCTGGTTGGTCTAGGTTTCAGGTTCTCTCAGGTTTTGTTTTTCAGAGAACTTATGTCTTCAGATCAGCTACTCAGGAGCTCCCACAGAAGCCCAAGTCAGGTTCCAGTCAGGTGCACTCAGGCTTCCTTCTAAGGTTTGGACCCCTCCAAGTGGGAATGCAAGGCAAAATTGAGGAAGTTCCCTAAGGGGGGGCAATTTTGGGACCCTCAGATGGTCCAGTGAGTTCTAAGCCATCACCACCCCTCACCCCCACCTTCCCAACCCCCCCACCCCCGTGCCAGAGTGAGGCTGGAACAAGCACTCTGGCGTTCTGCTGAGATCTCAGCTTTATCCTACCAAGTGGGCAGAGGTTTGCCCTGGAGCCTTGTGGAGGGGCCTCACTTAGGCCCAGTTGGGGGTTTGGGCAGTCTCCTGAGTGCTCAACCCCTATGTCAGAAGGAGCTGGAATAGGCAAGGAGATGTGAATTCTAATTATTGGATTTTCGAATCCTTACATGTAAAAACTGTGACTATTAATAAAAAGCATGAAAGACGGGAGAAAATCCAGCTTTATTGAGCATACATCACTGAAGACTTTCTCTTTCTGACTCAGAGAGTGTTTGAAAAAACTGTTTTGCAGATTCTTGGGTTACATAAACTGGTAAACTATGACTAAACTTTCCATTTATAGGTTCTCATGAATCTCTAGCCCTATTACTAGTTTACAGCGTTTATATGAATCACATATATGTGCTTTATTGATCTGCTAATTTTCAGCAAAGTGAGCTTCCCTCCATGAGACACTTTTACTCTTGTTCTAAACTCAATTTAAGCAATTTAAGGTACTGTCAGGATTACTTAAAAATCCTGCTTTAATTTCCATAATTGGAAAACTCACTCCAGGATAGCTTGGTGTAAGAACTTCTATCCAAGATGATCTGTAACCTCTGATGTTTATCTTCTACAATCATTGATTGCTACTGAAGATAGCTTGTTTTTTTAATGGTTTGGGATGTGGAGCTTTTAATGTGGATCCTGAACTGAGTTACAGATGTGGTTTTTTTCCTGGGTTCCTTTGTCACTTGGGATTCAGAGCCATAGAAATTTCTATACAACAGGCAAGGGACTTGGTGAGTTTGGGGTTTTAATGTCATTGGCTCAGTGGTTCTCAGGCTTGGCAAATGTCAGAATCTCCTGGAGTTCACTACAATCTAGAGACCCAAGCCCCACACTGGACAAAGGTGATTACGGTCTTGAGAGTCAAGTTTCACACAGCAAAACTTCTTTCCAGCTAGAGACCCAGGCCCACACTAAGCAAAGCTGCTTACAACCTACAGGTCCAGGCCCACATTAGGCAATGCTGACTGAGGTGTCAGGTCACACCCAGAGAGCTGCATTCCTAACAGTCTCCTGGATACACTGCTGTCTGACCATTCTTACTAAACTGCTTTTAGCTAAATCATATGTTTCTGAAAGTTTCTAACTGGAAATTTTTAACTTCATACTCTATTGCTCAGTGTATCTCTTTTCATGCCAATACATTCCTTTTTAAAAAAATTATTGTAGCTCTGTAGTAGAATTTGAGATCTGGCATGCTAATGGCTGTAGCACTTCTTTTTTGTTCAGGATTATTTTTGCTATCCCTAGTTTTTTGTGTTTCCATGTGAAACAAGATTTTTTTTTACATCTATGTGAAGAATTACATTTGAATTTTAATGACTATTGCATTGAATTTGTATATTGCTTTAGGTAGGATGGCCATTTTCAAAATATTACTTCAAATGATCCATGCATGTTTGAGATCATTCATCTACTGTTATCTTCTTAAATGCCTTTCTTCAATACCTTAAAGTTTTTTTTTATTGTACAAGTCCTTCATTTCCTTGGTTAGATGTCTTCCAAGATACTATCGTAAATGAGATCATTTTCCTGATTATTTTTTGTTATTCTTCTTGTTGGCATATAGGATATTCACTGATTTCTGAAGTGTTGATTTTACATCCTGCTACTTTTCTGAATATATTTATAAGGACTAGGAGTTTCTGGCAGCGTCCTTAGAGAATAGAATCAAATCATTTACAAATAAAGGTACTCTGATTTTTCCTTCCCAATTTCTATCCTCTTTATCATCTTCATTTGTCTTATTGCTCTAGCTAAGACTGCAAGTACTATACTGAACATGAATAAAGAGTGTGGACATCTTTGTCTCATTCCTCATTTAAAAAGCAATGTTTTGAATTGTTTTCCATTTGGTATGGTGTTGGCTATGAACTTGTTGTATATACCTTTACTATGGTGAGATATATCCCCTGTGTTCCTAGATTCTCCAGGAATTTTATCATAGATTTTATTAAGGGCTTTTTCTGTATCCAATGTGATTATCATAATTTTCTGTGCCTGAGTCTCTTTATAGGACAACATGAGAACACTATTTTCAACCATCTCCTATTCAGCAAAGATGGAAAAAAATACACACTGGAGGAAAAAGAGAATCTTCAGCAAGTGTACTGGGAAAACTGAATGTCCCCATGCAGAAGAATGAAATTATCCATTTCTGTCACCTTTCACAATGATCACCTCCAAATAGATCAAAGACTACAATGTGAGGACAAGAGAGTCTTGGTGACACATTTGAATATTCACATGTTGGTGGCAATGTTCTGAACAGGTATGATTAGGGGGTGAATATTCTAAGAATATATACAAACTTTAGTGTTCATTAACTTATTTGTGCATGATAAATTTAAGACAAATAAAGCTAAATCCCATTCCTAGAAAGTTGGGGTAAAATAAACATTTGGAAGAATGTATTTAATTCCAAACATAAAGTGTTCAGTAATTTATTGTGAGATTGTTTCAATACATAAGTGTAAGAAAATATCCATCTGCAGCATTATGGTGTCGATGAGGTTAAAAGATTGGTTATAGTGGCTGAGGATTAGAAAGTGTTCAATAATATTATTTGAACAACTGGGTGGAAAAAAATCTGAGAAGAAACTTCTGAATGAAGAAACACACAAAGCTAAACAGAGAATCAACAAAAGAAACCCCTAGCGGTGACTTTTTCTGTACTGAGATCAAGATTAGTCTGTCAGTCATCTGCTAACTTCATCAATCCTTGTTCATGAGGATCTCTGTGTGGCTCAGCCTGTTGAACATGTTCACTGTTTACAAGTATTGCCTTCAATGGATCTACATTGTTCATGGTCATCAAAATATGGTTCACCTATTTAGTGTAACATCACAT